GGGACGTGGACGCAAGCCGTGTAGACGCAATCGGAAAAGCAGCAGCACACTCTAAAGCTACACAATCCACCACAGATTGCATTTCCTAGACTCATTTCAGATATCAGGTGCGGTGGCATATAAATATCTTTGTTGTACAAAAACCACTACCAACGAAATTTCTTTAACTAGAGACCTTCCTATTGTTTTTAAATAATTTAAAACAACTAGCATTCTACCAATGATACAGATGAGTTTTGTCCATGGAAGTATCCGATGTCTCCCACAGCTAGTTATTGCTATAAAAGTAGCCTAAAATTGAAGAAATAATATATAGCTGAAAGTGTTTGAAATCAAGGCATTGAAATTTTTCATTTCCAATTTTAAATCCATCAAATCTGCGCGTAGCGTTGTTCGTAACCTATCTCGTAGTGCACAAAAAGCAGCAGCCTTTTTGTATCAAATTCTCATAAATTGTATTAAAGTACCATTGCAAAAAGGAATCCACAACACACGACGTTTGGGGACCGGCGGCATATAAACAAGGCGAGAGAGCATTACTGCTGACTGGCTGCCGAGACTATTCGATCGAGCTGCCGCCTGAGTCCTAGTAGCTTTTCCACAAGCCCCAGGTGCTGCTGGTGCAGACCTTGAGCCCCACAACCAAGGTCACCGCTGCTCGTTTTGGGCTCTGCATGCAGCTCCACCAGGTGTGTGGTCAGGTGATCCAGCATCCGGGTACTCTGCAATTGCCTGGGACAAGGGAAGGGATAGCATTTGATTAGGCAGCTGTTCTACTTACTAATTTCATTTCAGTAAAAAAATGATTTAATCAAACCGTTGAGTGACTTTTGAAGAAGGAAGGAATTCATTCATGAATTCATGAATTCATTCATTCATTTTGATCAGTAGTAGAGGAAGGTAGAAAGAACCCACCTCCGCCTCAGTGGCAGGCGATTGGCGTTTTCAATAAAGTCGGTAATGAATGTGTAGATGGCCTCCATCAGGCGTGAACGAACGCAATCTTGCATCCAAAAGGAATTCTGTTGATTAAAAAGAAAATTGCAAAATTCAGCCAAAATTATGAGGAGAGGCGGAGATTCTGAGCACGGTGCATACCTCTCAGTTGTAAAGAAGAGACTAACCTTCCTACAAAGAATGATGTTATAGGCCTCAACGATTTCAGGATCAGAGGGTATCTTCGCCGAGGCGAAGATAGAAGGGACCCAGCTAGAGGGCAGTGATTGTTGAATGGCATAGCGTTCTAGCGTGGAGATGATCACTACTATAAAAAAAGGCAAATCGTAAAAGCGTAAAGGAAGTGAATGCAAGACTTACCAAGTGGAAAAAAGGTATAATCAGCGGAATGGGGTGCATAGAGAGGCACAGTCGTGGTGGAAACTGCCGCATTGAGCGAGAGATTCACTGTAGCCACCGCAAGACGCATATAGAGTCGACTGAGGCAGGTGGAAAGGGTTAGCTCTAGGCCACGAGCTGTCTTTCGGTTTGTGGAGAGACGCTTTCGACGAGTCTGAACAGGTGAATTTAAATGCGAATCACTATCGCCACAAAGGAGCAGACGGTGCAAAAGAGAAGTCCAGATGGCCTCCACGAGATCGACATCCTGGGAAGGAGAAAAGGTAAATGGGCGTTGGGTTCCGAAATAAGCGGAGAGTGAACTTACTGCTTCGCCGGCGAAATGCAATAGCAAGAGCTTTGACTCGTGAAGTTCGAAGGGGTCGGCGTAGCAGGCGAAAAGCTCGGAAGCGGGAAGGAGGGGACCCCGGGTGAGTTCGGTGAGAGCTTGCTCTGCCTTCGAGTGAGAGAAGGTCGTGCTAGTAGAGACTGCGGCACTGGTGCTTGTGGCCGCCAGCTCGATACACAACTGGCGCTGCAACTCTGCAACTTCCAGACGGTCCTGTAAGTCAGCAAGGTATTCCGAGGTTTCCACCAGCTGTGACTCTGGAAAAAAGAATTAAGCCAGTTTGGCTGAATGCCCATCTGTTAGGGGATGGTGAGAAGAGAGCAGAACTCACGGGGAAGAGCCTTGATAGCGACAATGGCACGAGCGAGGTAGTCAAGACGGTCCTCGAGAGTGAGGCCCTCACCGGCGCCGGCAGTGGTGGCGAGGTGTTCAAGGACCTGCGCGGCCTCTCGACGAGCGCCGCGGGCCTCCAACTGACGCCAGAGGAGACGACGCAGTGCCACGTCATTGGGCGTCTGACACAGATGCGACTGAAGGTACACTTCCAAGTAAGGCGAGTTCAGCTCCACAACCTGCTCCAACAAACCATTCGATAGGAGCCACGCAATCACCTGACGGGAAAACAAATCGCTGTGTCAAATTGCAGATGACTGAAACAGGTGCTTAGCATCATATCTTTTAGCTAGTGAAGAAGTGGATTTTGAGTGTCTATAATAACTTATCCCAGTGCTTACATTTCGCATAGTTGATGCAGCGGCAGTATAGAGGCATAGAACAACCTCAGCGATCTACAAAAATTCTTCAATTCACAGGATGACTATCAAACGTAAATATCACAGAAGGATGACTGCTATAGAGGTCAAGTTGAATTTTGCCAAGCGCTCCAAATTAACACTCTGCAATCTCCGATCCCAGTAACCGGGTGAAATCCAAATATTGAGTTGAAAAGTATTGAAGTCCAAAATGAGAACAAGGTAACAGAAAGAAATTGATGTAAAGCTTCACCATGAAAAGGTATACTACATGGTATTTTACTAGGTGGCTCTGCTTTTGGAGGAAGTTTCCCTAATTCGATCTACTAAGATTGACAGGAAGCATGACTGATTTGGGGATCAATGGCTTCCTGCTTTAATGAAAAATCGGCTTATTTTCTTCGCTCCCGATTCATGCCTAGTTACGAAAGCATGGACTATATTCTGATCGCGGCGGATGAGCAAAGATGAAGTCTAAAAAAAGGCTTTCTAAAGGGATTGTCAGTAACATCATCCCTGGGACCTAATACTTAAAAATTCTAACATTTAACACTTAGTGGCTAAATGCTGGATTGGCTCGAATTGCGCTAAATGGTGGAAAGATAAAAGCTACTTTGCAACCCGGATGCATAAAACGCAGTGTTAGCAAGATATGTGATCTTGAAAGAGAAATCAGCCTCAAAGATCCTACTAAATTCGAAGGCACTCCTAACAAACACCCATCTTCACCCCCACATCAGTTTCAGTAAGGCTGTTTAAAAGCAAATAACATTGAGGCAAGTGAAAGTGACCAGCCAAGAGTCATGGTCCTTCAAACAACTTAGAATAATGGCCTGAACAGCAAACCAACGGTGCCCATACGTTATCACAGAAGTCAAGTTTAGATGTTAGTAACAATATTCATTGAGAGCATTTAAAAATATAACCAAAAAGCATGAAATATGATAGAGAACCCACCTCAAAGTGTGCCACCATGTCATCCAATTTAAAGATGAACTTTAGAATGGCTAAAAGAGTGCGCCGAACAACTTCCTTTGTAGGGTTGACACCGATACTCTGTAACACACCGCCAGGCGGCTCCGCCTGCGTCTCCAGCTCCGACTCCGGGATACGCGAAGCAGAGGCGGGGAGGCAAGCCATCTCGAGAAGGCTACTGAGACAGCCCAGAGCCACACGGTACGCATCGTACCGACTCTCCACCACCTCCACCTCCGTCCGAGGAGTAGCACTCGCGGACTTTGCAAGGAGTAACGACGCCGAAGCCTCCGCCGCCGGTTGGCGCGATTCCCGCAGACACGCCAATGTCACGTCAAGAGGATCACGTTGTCGGGCGATAGAGAGGCAGAGACTGATGGCGGCACCCCACCCACCTACCGTGGTAACGAGTTTGTTCACGGCCGCCGCAATGTTGAGTGAAGGCCCCGCGGAGTGCAGGAGATCCACAGCTTCTGCAATAAGCTCGTCTCGGTGCTCCCCCGAAGTGGTTAGTGACGCAGCGCGCATCAAGAGTTCCTCCGCGCGAGCACAGAGTGCGTCCTCGTTGCCGAAGAGGTTGGGACAGACGCTGCGCAGACGAGCACAAAGTGCTTCCACGGAGGCCGTTAGACATTGGCCTGAGATGTAGTACTCAATCAGAGCGGTGATAAGTGCCGAGCGGATGTCAGGAATGGTGGAGGTAGTGGGAGATGGTGCGGCTGCTGTGCGGGGCATCCAGCACACGAAGGCCTCCACGGGTAGACTGATAAGGTCCGTGCGTTGTTCTTCACTGAGCTGACTGTAAGCAGTAAATGTGAGAAAAGGCTTTACCTCCTGCTTGTAAAGAAGAAGAGCGGAAGTAAACGCACCTGGTGATAGCGTGAACGTTGTGTTGACTAATGATCTGCCAGAGACCGGTAAATTCAATAAAAGAGGATAGGAGGAGGCAGAGGTCCTGTGTAAGACGTGCGAGAGGCGAGAGGGTGGACTCAGTCGGACCACTTCGACGTCCATTAAGGAAGGAGGATGTCGATGATATCGACGCCTTCTGGCTGGACGACTCAAGGAGGGCTTTAAGGTAGCGCAGCTGGTGCAGAATCCATTCAAGGTCATCCGAATTTAAGCGCGAAGTTATCTATCAAAATTATCAACCCTTATGAGACTGAGCATTAGTGGAACCATTTATTTTCAAATTATTATTATGGACTTAGATCTACAGAACAACTTGGCGTTTTTTTCCTTGACGCTCTCAACTCACAATGAGAGAATCTTTGGCGACGGCGCTGGCGGAGGCAGTGGCCTTAGCGATGGCGGTAGAGACGAAGGTATAGAAGAAGCTAGTCAAACCACCAGACACGCTGTCGGGCCTATGACTAGCGGAGGAAAAGCCGAGCGCAGTCTGGTCAGCAACCGCGAGCATCGGAGCACGCCAAAGAGGTCGTGCCACTCGTGAGAGGAAGAGGGAGGCACCGAGCACTAGAAAGGTGTCAGCCATCGCCTCCTGCTGGCCTAATGAACCCATCATTCCCAAATCTGGCAGTGATGTCATTGCTCCCATCGCCGCCACAGCTCCTAATGCCGGTGCTGTGGCTGAAGCCGCACCGTGACAGAGGACCGGGGGTTGCCAGAAGCGCGCAGCCTCCGCGGCGAAATATACCACCGCCTGTAGAAGATTAAAAATTAATTCATACCGCTAAGCCATAGAACGCACCGAGAAAACAAGTGAACCATTCCGAATTCATTCACTGGATTACGAAATATTGACTATATGAAGCTGTAATAAATATTGTGTTGGGAGGCTGTGCTTTTAAGCATTGGTCAATAATAAAGTTATGTTTGGATTAATACATACTATAACGCTTTCAGAGAGCCCGGAAGCTGCAGCATTATATTTTACCCAATTTTAATGTCTGAAAATAATGAGGATCACGATGACTTGCAGTCTTGGATGAAGCAAGGGGAACCAGATGGTAACAATACCTACTCTTTCGGCCTGAGCGACTACATCTGTTTTGCCCTGCTCAGAGGCTGCAATGGCGATGGCGGCGCAGATAGACTCCTCCGGACCAAACTGATGCAGAAAAGTGCTCAAAAAGTTCCTATCTGCGGAATCCAAGGAGACGGTGGCATCGGTGGTGAAAGGAACGGCACCAGAAGTGAGGAGAAACTCACGCAGTCGCTGGAGCGGAGAGGGCAAACGGAGGTGTACGATGCCGTGGGCGGTGATGACTAACACACGGCGGTAATTTGGATCCAGATGCTGCGTCAACATCACTGGTGGAGAGCCCTTTGGAAACGGCGGTTGCGATGGCGGCGGATGCTGTTGTGGCTGCGCACAAAGCGTTACGCCACCAAATCCTGTTTGTTGAGGGCTTCAACGCGAAAAGGATCTCATTGTGCGGCTGCATATGCTCATGACAGCGATAGACGCACGAAAGATTTGGATAAACACCCTAACAACAAATTTTGTGGATAGACATATTTGGAGGGAGGAGGAGCCTTTTTACTGTATTGCAACAGTATACTCAAACCAGGGCCTTGTATTTCGCTCCGATAGATTAATTTTCCTCATTAATTATAAAAAAAAAAGTGATGGAGACTTGGTGAAAAAGGTTGACCAACGAATATCTTTCCTAGAGTGAGTCTGAAGAAAGCAACAAAATTGTCGAGGCAAAAATGAGATCGGAATTCCCAAAAACATTGTTATCAAAGAGAATAAAATCTGGAGGTTGTAAAGAAAGTGCCTTAAATAACCTTGAGGATGAGATGGGTATTCCTGCTGCAGCTTGAAAGATAATTGGTAAAACGAAAATCGCGGTCGATCCATTTCGTCATAATAACTAACCAAGTGCAGATACAAAGCAACGCAGTTAAATAATTCATGGCATCGTTTTAAAAAGAATCCGGAAAAAAAAGCAAAAATTCAAGCCCATATGCATGCTTTAATTCAGCTGCATCAAAATATTTTTGAAAACAGTTGTAAAAACAGGCCATCGATCAACATAATACGAACTTATTTGATACAAAATAGAACATCCAACTATAACAAAATCCGAAAACAGCAAATCATGTCAGTGCATTCTGAAGCTCTAGATTTTCATATGCAAAAATGAGTTAAACGGACTGAACGAGCCTGATGCCTACTCGGTTTGAGAAAAACCCGACGATTCATGAGGCAACTCAATGCCTTTCTTATTAAAACTGGACGAGGAGACAGCGAGAAGGGCGTTGGGGATGCCAACAGTATCGCTATTATCGTTAGAAGGTAGCACTGTTAGCGCCCAGGGGGATTCAACCTTCAAAGAGGTGGTCACTATCTCTGACAGACAAGGCGACCACGGAAATGGGTCCGGGGAGATCACACTGAGGGTCAGCGTGTTTATCCTCTCTGGCGGCGAGTCATCGGTAGCTGATTTTGGCAGAGTCGAGGCAAAAATGACTGTGCCTCGCGTCTCCGCCACCAATCTGAAAAGTGGAAGAGGAAATGAATGGGTCGCTGCATCCCGATGGGTGGCATGAGAAAAGTAACAATGTACTTGACGTCACCGAGGGCAAACGGTTGAAAAGGGAGTTGTTGCTGATGTTGCTGCTGCTGTTGTTGGGGCAGCATCGAAGTATCTGGAATGCTAGGGTCCAGCAGAGCAAGCGGAGGCAGACGGACATGGGCAATGCGGAGGCCCTCAGCAAAGTAGATGCGAATGCCAGACGCGGTGACTGCCATCATCTGAATCGGACCAGCCTCGTCAGACAATGCATAGATTGATATGATCCTGGAGATAAAGGTAAAAAATGGGGCTGGAAAACCCGAGAAAAGGCCTTTTTAAATGCTGCGCTATTATTTGCCTTCCTCGTACCTGGAAAAGTGGCTTCGATCTACCGACCGAACAACCGATGCAGCTCGATAAGCCAAATCGGAGACAGTGAGACTTGAGAGTTTGGAGAGGTGGTTGGCGGCAGCTTTGCTGCCAGGAATGTCGTATCGATAGACGGCTAGGTGAGAATTAGCTGACAACGTCCACAGAAATCCGCGCCTTGAATCCACAGAAATTCGCACAATAGCACCTGAGAGAAGTAGATCGAGCCAAATCGTTCAGAGGTAGAGCGTACCTGAAGGACGAAATCCGCTAGTGAGAATGGTGGGAAGGAAGTAGTTTAGCGAGGACGCGGTATGGTTGACAATAGAGCAGAATTCGTCGGAACAAGATGTGTGAGCGGACATATTGTCGTCCAATGTTGGAATAGGCTTATACACAAACTCCAAGAGATCGCCCTCTCGATTCCCCATGAAGAGCCTGGAAACAAAAAATAATGAACAAGAAGACAAAATCATACCGCCCGTTAGAAGTGCTTTCCATGCAAGTGATGTAATTGCTTCCAGCGAATATCATATAGAGTGGAGTAGGCAGCACATTAAAGACTCCATTGCAGTAATAATTATTTTGGGAAGTAGTGTAGTCATAGGTGACTCCCAAAACGATAAGATTAGACGGCGTTGCTAATGCTAGTAGGTACTCAATGGCGGAAGGTAAGATGCCTAAATAAAGCATTGGTTAGTAAGATCTGGTGGGACTGAAGAATATTGATAAATACCCAACTTAGGACGCAGTAAAGAGACAGAGATGATAACATCTTGGCAGCCGTCATAGAAAGCCAAGTCTTGCCCGTCTTCAAAATTCCAAAGAAAGAATTCTGCATCGACTGTAAGCCAAGCTTTCCGACATTGCGGAAATATTCCCATGCGGCAGCACTGCCTCACACTACCCAATCGCTCCTGGAGTTCCGACGGAATGGCCGTTGTTTTTTCAAATTCGAGTCGCCCACCCACATTGATCCCAGAAACGGCATAGTCGGAGTCAAGGACTCCGCTGACAGTGGGTATGTCTACAAAATCATAAAAAGTCTAATAAAGATACCATTCCGACTGTAGCCTATTTTAGACGCCATATCCCTATATTGGGCATCTTTATTCATCAACTTATTAAGCCATTCACGCGCAGGATCACTAAGCGAGAGAGCCATCAAAATCGCCTACAAAAATCAGTCCAACGCCAGCGTTAGAAGGCTAAATTGCCTCAGCTGCAATTGGTTAATTTTTAAACGAATAAAATTGAAGTAAAATGATTTATTACAGCAATTATTTGGTGGATAGTACCATGTTAAAAAAAAGAATAAATCCGCCTGGGTCGCAATACTTTCGATATGGTCACAGTAATATACAATAATGAACAGGTTATAGTGCACCTAAAACACTCCTCTCATGAAAAATATAGTAAGGTCAGTCTAAGAACATAAAAATTATGTTATTTTGCTTAATATTAGCAATAATCTGTGTGGTTAAAAACTATTACGCTAAGAACGGGTCAATCGCTTCATTTGCATAGTTGAGAAGCTAATATTCGCTTATTTACTAATCCTAAGTAGATTTTTTCTCACTTATAGTGTATGGGAATTTTTAGTAGCGTGAAATCCAAGTAACGCAGGTTAATTTGAAAATAAGGGGTCAGATCTTAATAGAGCTTAGTTACATATGCCAAAACAGCTTTTATACAACTGCTAATTTTGCAATCGAAATTAAGCACTGGTCTGTCATTAGTCAGCTCTGTAAGATTTGCCAGTAACCCCTTTCATCTGTATTTTTAAAGCGAAAATCCGCTTATAGATTCAATTTACACTGCAAATGCTTATAAGGTGACTATGCCTAGTTTTGGTTGAGAACAGGCGACTAATCATTAGCGTACCGGAACTAGTTTGGTGAACGCAAAAGTCAATTAAATGCTGTTTAATGCATAGGTTATCTGTAAGTTTCCTTTCATTTTGATTATTATCATCCCGGACATGGTTCTGGTCCATTTCTTTGTTGTATTTTTACTTTTATTGATCATTAATTGGCCGGTTAGAGGTATATATTGTGCGCCTCAGCTCATAGGGTCGGTGTCGTTGGTTGTCTCTTATAGTGTGGTGCTGATTTCTAGAATGCCATCTACACTGGATTTATTGAAGCAAACCACTATTGTCGTTGCAGATACGGGGGATTTTGACAGTAAGTATAAAGTGCTTTTCTGTGTACGCTCTAGGTATACGAAAATTTCTTCCAACTGATGCCACGACTAATCCGTCTCTTATACTTGCGGCTTCTAAGATGCCAAAATACTCAGAAATCATTGAAGAGGCAGTGCGGATTGCCAAGACGAAGTCCGACTCTCTGGAAGAGCAAGTCGAAATCGCCTCAGACTACACATTTGTAATGTTCGGCGAAGAAATTCTGAAAATCATTCCCGGCCGTGTTTCCACAGAGGTCGACGCGCGGCTTTCTTTTGACAAAGATAAGCAAATCGAAAAGGCCCTTAGGTTGATCGCTCTCTATGCTGAGAAGGGAATATCGAAAGAACGTATACTCATTAAATTGAGCTCAACCTGGGAAGGCATACAGGCAGCCAAGGAGCTTGAGTTGAAACATGGCGTACACTGCAATCTTACACTCCTTTTCTCTTTCTTCCAAGTATCCTGGTCGTTTTGCTCATGTCCATCCTGTAATAGGCTGTTGCTTGCGCTGAGGCCAACGTGACACTCATCTCCCCATTTGTTGGCCGCATTTACGACTGGTACGTGGCGAAAAAGGGTCAAATCGAGTTTACTAGGCTCGATGACCCAGGTGTTCTCTCTGTAACACAGATTTACAATTACTACAAGAAATTCGGCTACGAAACCGAGGTTAATTCTCGCCTCTACTTCCTTCCACATTGTGTGCAAATTCTGCTTTTTATCTTACACTATTTTCCTCTCTTCAAGATTATGGGCGCCTCTTTCCGCAATGTAAATCAGATACTCGGTCTCGTTGGCTGTGATCTCTTGACTATTTCACCTAGTCTTCTTGAATCTCTTGCCTCCATGGATGAGGTGGTTCCTGTCGCTCTTGATGCTAAATTAGGTTGGGCGCTTTTTTATTGTTTACAGTAAAATCGGGCGTATTCCTGGTTATGCTTACGGTGCCCTCAAATTACTGCCCCGGTTGACATTTTTAGCTTCTTCGAGATCCAAATACGAGTCGCCTCTGCACTTAGATGAGGCTGCTTTCCGCTGGGCTATGAACGAGGATGAGATGGCTACTGATAAACTCTCAGAGGGTATTCGCAAGTTTGCCGCAGACTCACGGACCTTAGAATGCCTTCTAAGAGCTCGCCTCACTGACTCCAATTGATGCCTGCCCCTCCTTGCACTCTTTTCTTATCTAATCCGATTTCCCATTTAGTATTTTGCATAAAATAAATGTATTATGCTAAAATGACCGTTTTCTCTAATGTTTTGTGCTTCAGGGAGTGGGTTTTCGTGGACTTTTATTGTCACTTGATTACTATGATTGAGGCGGATTCTTATTTAACACGGGGGATTCGGTAACTCACAAGCCACTCCTCGAGATGTTAGTGTGTTTCTGGGTGGAAGGATAGCAATGATAGGTCCCTCATTTCAAAACTCATAGATTTTTTTGCTTAAACACCTTGAAATTGAAGCATCAATTTCTGCCAGAATCCGCGTAACAGTGATCCCACGGGATAATAGTCAAGTTTGCTGCGCGAGTCATTACCTGCACGCATCCAGCGCAATGTTTTGGACCTGTTGCTAGATTCAGGTGTACCCGTTCATTTGCAAAAGACTAACCTCACTTGTAGCGGTGCATTTGATCACGCATCCGTAAGTTCAGTTTTGTCATTACATGTGGTGGTAATTCTCCCACGTAATTGTGGTCTTCAGTCAAAGCATCGTAGACGCCCAAGTGTTGGACAGGTAATCATGTCTGGATGCATCAGTAGCCTTAATTGCATGCTCTGTTTCCTACACTAGTTTCATGTAGATAGTTGGGGCTGTTATAGGCAGATGCGAAAATTTAACCACTCAAATGCCATATTCTTGGCACCACTGCTCTGTATGCAGGCCAGGTCAGAAGAGTGTGGATAGGCGAGAGCCAATTCATGTTACTTCTTTTCAGTCCTCTCATCAAAGTAATGTTTCTTCTAGCAGACTTCTACATTTACCCTCAGCGATTGGCTGCCGCATCTTCAAGAGCCAAATGTTCTTAATTTGCCCTCAGAATATCTTACAATGGAAAATTTTGTGCATCACTTTAACTAACTGTATCTGCTATTCCTACTTGCTTATAAACTTACTAATATTCCCAATCACTTTATAACTACTGCTTCGTCTGGATTTTTTACCACTTTGAATGGCCACTTTAGGAGGAGGCATAGTAGAATACTGCTATTGTTCAATTGTGCATGGAATGTAACCAAACATCAATTTATTTTTTGTTTGCCTTTATTCACGCATGAAAAATATGTATACCTCTACCAATAATGTTCCGGTGAGACCACTCACTTTAGGAGTTTACCTTGTCACTTATTCGTTATCCTGTTTTTTCTACCTCTTAATCAGCCGCTCAACATTCTCCCAAATATTAAAAACTAGTCCACCTCCAGTTATAGCATTGAGATATTATTTTGAATGGTAAACAGTCGAATTTGTGGTGAAGGCATCTGGAACAAATCTTGCGGTTAAAGTACATCGACCCTTTCAGTACCAAATGGCTGAAGAAAATTAGTACATAAACTGTCACAGGTCGCTAAGGTGATGATTAACTTAGGTGACAGCTGAGGGCTTTGCTGTTCTCTGTAGAAGTGTCCAATTTTTTACGTTGATATATCTACTAGAAATAGCTAAAACCTTAGCTAAGGTTGACTTCTGCGGCATCTCGTGACCCTCACAACTAATCCGGGATGAGTTTTTATGTTGAAAGTGCGCGAAGTTACGCAAGAATTGAAATTAACCTCAGACTGCATTCTAAGGCGTGGCCTCTTTGTTTACAAAGGGTTCATTTACTACAAGCTACTGGTGCTGTCAAAACGAACTGATCACTGACTTGGGCCGATCAGATGTTCTTATGCTTGTGCCTCTGTAATCCATTTCCTCGGCCCCACTTGAGGCCCTGACTACTTGCAGTAAGTGGTTACCGTTGTACCCATCCTGTGCTACCAGGCTGGAATTCACAAGGATTAGACGATTTCCTACCTGAATAACACTAGGTTGGAGGTACATTTAAAATATGGATACTTATCTTCATGCATGGCGCCTGTGATGAAAACGAGTCAAAAACCCTTTGTGCAACCATAAATCGCATGTTTTATTACAACCCTTAATTCAGTAGTGCAGTCAGTAAGTAACTGAAGGTTCGGCGAATTTCTCGAACAGTTATTTCACTTAGCATGGTTACAAATTTGCATCTCAAACGTTATTGTATATTTTGGCGTTAAAATTTTATAAGAACGTTTAATTAGTACTGTAAGGGAATGAACAGATTTAAACGTGAAGAACGTGCAGAACCATACAGTCTCTGTAAAAGAAACAGGAATATTCTTTCAATTTCTGATGGAGAATTCGCCACACCAACTTAAACTAACTACCTAATTCGCACACACACGGGACACATACGGACTGTGAAGCTTATCGCCTCTTCCGAGCACCAATGCCTCTCCCGAACCCATTCAATGGTCGCTTATCCATGAAGTACATCAGTGTGTATTGTTCCCTTCTGTCGAAATCATAAATGAGAATAGCTGATAGCGGCAAATGAGGAAATATTGCATGTTTCTTTCCTGTTGCCGGATTACTTGAACTGAGATGCTAATTTCACGCTGCATCAGGTCATGAGCCTAGGTAACAATTGCACATGTCCTAAGGGCAGTTACGAATTCCTAAATGCTCCAATTACATAACTGAAAAGTAGCCTTTACATGTAAACACTAGGTTTATCGTTCACGTCAATTTGACCCATTTCAACTTTCAAATAAAAGTAACAAAACCACGACATTCTATTTGTTTTTTTTTTCTGCTGAAATTTATGTCAACCTAGAACCCTTAGAATGACAAGATCGAGTTAACGGGTGGGCAAAAATTCGTACGCAATCATAATGGATCTGCTACAATGGCGAAATGGTGATTTTGGCAAATTATATGCAAATAATAAAATAATCTAGTAGTAGGGGAAATGTTTTTTTGCGTCGCGGATATACCACCGCACATGATATCTGAAATGAGTCTAGGAAATGCAATCTGTGGTGGATTGTGTAGC